GCTCCTTGGAGGAGGAGCAAAAGCAGCAGCAGCAGCAGCAGCAGAAGGAGGATCATATTTTATTATAGAGAGGAGGAGGAGGAGGAGGAGGAGGAGGAGGAGGAGGAGGAGGAGGAGGAGGAGGAGGAGGAGGCGGAGGAGGAGGAGGAGGAGGAGGAGGAGGAGGGAAGAGGAGCAGGAGGAGGAGGAGGAGGAGGAGGGGAGGAGAGGAGGTCCTCCTCCTCCTGCTCCTCCTCCTCCTCCTCATCATCCTCATCATCCTCCTCCTCTCCCCTCCTCTCCCCTCCCCTCCCCTCCTCTCCTTCCTCTCCCGTCCTCCCCCATCCTCTCCCCTCCTTTCTCCCCTCCTCCTTTCCTTTCTCGTCCTCCTCTCCAATCCTCTCCCTCCTGCTCCTCCTCCTCCTCCTCTCCCTCCTCCTCCTCCTCCTCCTCCTCCTCCTCCTCCTCCTCTTCCTCCTTTTTTTCCTCTTCCTCCATCGCTTCCTCCTCCGCCTCACTCACCCAGATCTGAGGGTCGACGCTGTGTTGGCCCGAGCGTCGACGCAGATTCCTACATTGTACGAATGAGTAAAGACCCCGCAGTATACATCTTACTGCCATGCGTTGTCTCGTAACTACGGCTTCCAACCCCCGCAATTATAGTGGGCAGCGAAGCTGGGAAAGACCCCAAATTTCGATCCACGGAATGGGCGAGGAGTGCGTTTGGACATAAGTTCGCACTTACGTTTACCTCCGCATCGGTACCACCCTCCATTTTCTGAGTAGCATATGATGATGGCTGTTCCGCAAGCAAACCGGAAATTCGCCTCGGACATCCAGTCCGCCTGCGAGGTCGACAGCAGAAGACGGAAACGCGATGAGGAGCGACTCGCCCACAGGACCGCCACGAGATTTCCCGACCCATCGCAACACAACAGGAATTGGCCGCAGCTTCGCGTCGGGCATGATCGCGAGGCTCTTTCCTGTGTTAGCGCCGTGCTTCGGTACGTGTGCGATAGTGCTGGTTGTCCACGTGAGCACATCGCACCACCCGAGTGGAACAACGCAAGTTGACGCACCAGTTTCACCGACCTCAGCAGCGAGCAAGGTCGACAACAGCACCATCATGGCTGCCCCGCACTTAGACATGGCACTCGCCCCTGCGCAGGCCCGAGTCCCAAGGCGCCAACGCAGCCATCATCGTTTTGAGGTCTTCAGGGGGAGGAGTTCCCACTTGACGCTCTGGGGCAGCATCCTCGCGTTCGTCGTGGCCGTCCTGTTCTGGCTCGCCAGCGCGATGCCTGGTGGAGCCGGCCCACAGGGCGGCGGCCGCGGCGCCATCGCATCCCGCCTGCCGCCCCCATGGTCACGCGAGCGCCAGTCCGCGTGTCCCGTCCGGCATTGGATACACGAGCTGCTCGCTTGGCGCGTGCTAGCCACCGACATGGGCAGCGCCCAGCAATGCGTCGCCGTCATCCTCAACCTCGGTGGGGCCGCTCGCGAGTTCACGCGCTCCGTGAGTCTTCGCAGAGAAGACGGGGGGAGGCGTGGTCAATGGCCGGCAGGAGGACGCGGCGTCCCACCTCAACGCGAATTTCACCACCCAGTTCGGCCCATCCGGTGAGGAGCCGCGCCCCCAGGCAACCCGCGAACTCCTTTGGTTCCGCGAGGCGACGCAACGAAACAACAACACACTGCGCCCGCGATTTCTCACGCTGCGAGTTCGAGCTACACACACAACGGTGGAGTCGCGATGTCTTGGGGGGGCTGCAGTTGGCTGCTCCTCCGAGCGGTCGCGTCATAGCTAGCCAACTCACGACGCCGCCCCAGTCGCGCGGTAACCGATGTCCAGCCACAGAGGCCGAGTTCAACAGACTCACGACTATGATCAGGCGCGCGGGTCACATTGCGGAGCATGCGCCAGCGCCCTTAGCGCGCCACCATCGTTCGCAGGATTTGTGGGCATGAACAGACAACCGCCATGACGCGCGTGACCTCGGGCACGCTCGAGGTCTCGACCCTTGGGCTGCATGCGCCGCCTAGCTTCCCGGAACAGGGGGCGCCGCGGCGCGCCCTGCCCGCCCGTCGCAGAGCGCGGCCCCATGATTGGCAGCTAATCTGGCCGCCGCGCGGGCGCCCGCGCACGGGGCCGACTGCGAGAGTGGAATCTCTTCAGACACCAGTCCGGGCCCAGGCGGAGAGGTCAACCACCGAGCACCCGAGCTCCAAGGTCTCAGCCCTGCCCAGATAGATACCACGTTGTCCTGGCAGTCGAGGATTGCTGAACAACAGCGGCGCAAACGCACGCAACACCCGACTCGAAAGGCACGCAGGTTCACCGAGAAAAATGACAGCACCTTTTCCAGAAATTCAATGGCGCAGGCAAAAGTTCCCAGAAGTACGCGCACCTTGCGGCTTTCTCATACACCCTAGTGGATCGTGGATCAGGTCTCCCTCGGCGGAGAAGGACAGGGCAAAGGCGCGCGCTCGTCGGGCAAAGGAAGAGGGCGCCGCAATCCGCAAGGCTATGACGGAACCGCCGTGGCGCGCAGCACCTGCGAGAGCGCGCACCACTCCCATGATGAGCGCCCGCCAGGCACCGCATCATCACCACTGGGCAACGGCGGCGGCGGCCAGGGCGGAGGCCGCGCAGACTCCGGACCCATAGACGGCAGCCTGGACTCCGCCCCCCGCGCCGGGACCTCGAGAGTTGCTTTCGCGATTCCGGAGGGCCCTCCTCAGCCGCAGCCAAGTCGAAGCGCCGCGCCAGCGCGGCCATCCGCCGACGGCTCCTGGCAGATGCCTGGATCAGTCCGGCCCGCGGTCAGCTGCCTCGCTCACCGCGGTCCAGAGCCACGCGCACTCCGACGCGCCAGTTTTCCTACGCACCACCTCAGGTGTTCAACATTGCAACGCCGACTTCAAGACCATCCCGACTCCCGGCGCTGCCGCCGTTCCCCGGCGCCGGCGCCGGCCGCCGACGGAGCTCGCCCTTCCATCAGCGCACCGCGGAGCACTGCCACTCTATGAGGTTCCCGCGAGATCAACTTCATCGACCAATAGTGCAGCGCAGTCGCCGCCATGCTCCAGATGGGCCAACTCACATTCTTCACATCAGTGATCTGGGCAGGCTCGCGCGCCTACGACAGGGTCAGCTTGCCCGAGCTGTCCTGCCACGTAGACAGTAACGCCGCCGATGCGAGCGCCCGGCCGAAGTGCCGACCGCGGCAATCCGGACAAACGTCGCACACGACCTGGCCCCTGAGATCTCCGTCGGGCTGTTTTCCATGGCCAGATTGGAGGCCGACCGCGACGCTTAGATGGAACGACGGCGCGCTCACCGACGCGAGCGCGCACAGCAGGTGATCGACGCGGTCGCGTCTGGACCGCCGACCGTCGCGCCGCTGCCACCGCCGTCGGACCTATGCGTAGAGTCAGAACTCACTGGAGTTAGAGTCGACACCGATGAGATGGGCGGCGTCTGTTCGGAGCATTACGTCAACGCGGTTCTCACTCTCACCCTTCAACGCGGCTATTTGTTCCATCCGAGCTGCTCCACCGCCCGGGCCGCCACCGGCAACAACAACAACAACAACGCCCATGTGCGAGTCGCAGCGGAAGCCCCCCGCGGCGACCAGGCCCGAGCGCCATTCTCACCGTGCCCAACACATAGGCAACAGGTGGTTACGCTCGAGGTCACGCACATCCATGTAGACACCGCGCCCAGCGACGCGCCCGACGAGGGCGCGCCCCCCCGGCGACGCCGGGCCTCCGGCCACACCGCGAGACGCGCCGTTTGGCGAGATCACCTTCAGCACTCCTGCATCCACTCGGGGACAGCCGTCACCTCAGGGCTCACCGCGTGGCGGCGCAGCCGACGTGCTTCCCTGGTGCCCATTCACTGACCCAGCAGACGAGTGCGCCACTCATGCGCATCACAGTCGCGCGCAGCTATCGGGCGAGCTCAGCGCCGTCGTGGGCCCAGGCGCGTGGACCAACCTCACGGGCGAGAAGCTTGCGCTCCAACCTGCGCCGCCGAGCCGTTGAGGCAGGGCGCCGGCCGCAGCGGCGCCTCATGAGCAAGGCTTTGGGCACCCAAGGCGTTGGCAATTGGATCCAAGAGCGCACCCATCAGGCGAGCACCTCCGCTGCCGCCACGGACGAGCAGGGCGCAGCTACCATCCACAGCATCACAGCAACCATTGTCAGAGTATCGGGCAGCGACCTGCCTGGCCTGCTTGGCCTGCGCAGCATGGAGTCCGCGCGAGCGATGCTGGACATGGGCCAACGCGACCTGATCTTGCCTTGCAGCGGCGACGCCCAGACCCAAGGGCCCGCGGGCACGGCCCGCGCCCCGCCGCAGAAGGCTCCGAGCGGACACCTCGCGACGGTCAACGACGACTTCGAGAGGGCAGTGCAAACCGCAGGTGGCGCCCCCGATCGCAGCGTTCAGCTGCGCGCCCACGCCGACGAGGCGGAGACGGAGACGAAGCTACGACGCCGGCCGCTGCCCCCTCCAGCCAGGAGGCCGAGCAGCGGTCGAACCTCGGCTCTCAATTAGCCGAGGCCCCTACGCGGGGCACCCCGGCTCTCCTAACCGGGGAACCACCGTCGCGCCCCATCCGCGCTAGAGCGAAAGACCTCGCGCCAGCGTGCGCGAGAGTTCCCGAGCAGCGCGGATGGCAGATGCGAGCGCTCGATCCTAATGACGCCGCTAGCCATATCTGCCCTGGGAATCAGTACAGTCGTGCCCGAGAGTCACTGAATGAGTTAAGGGTTACGCGCCGAAGACACGACATGCCCCGCGTCGCAATGGAGTCGGCAAACAAGCCGAATCTCACCATCGAGGTGGTCAAGAAAACAGCTGTTGGCATGAACTCATTCATTATCAGGGTCTGCCGACTTCGGGCGCATACCTGAACCCGACAACGAGCCACCTGCCAAGATAGCATTCCACATCGTCACGACGACATCAGGAGCGAAAGAAGGACGTACACGTACATAAATCCACGCTGGCCTCG